GGAAAACAAGCGAAGTTTGATAAACTAATCTGTCAAAAGTTCCGATTAAAGTTCATTTTTCAACCAACAAAATTTGTTATTTTTGAACCTTTTTGTAGTTCTTGCTAAAAACAAAAAAGAGCTAAAGTGGTCATTGGTGGTCAAGAAATTGTTGGGAACCATTGGAAGATAACTTTAAACTTTAAAAGATTTTAAATACTTACCTTCCATTTGGTGGAATTTTTCTAATTTAATAAATGAAAACTTACATCTGTGATAACGGAAGGGAAAAATGACATGAGAAGGAAAGTGATGAAATAATATCCTTCCTTGATAATAATCTTGATATGAATATCACCTTTGCATTAATTGTTCGTTAAATTTTGCAAAAAAGAAAAAAAAACAGTAAACGGAAATTTTTAATACTCTGTTCTCTTGTTTTCAGTTTATAATTTAGGTAATGGCAAAAATGACATTCCGGAATGCGTTAAAACGGAATGAAGACGGTGATTTAGGCCCATTTACTATGGATTGCCGAATAAAAGATAACGTAGCTGGATATCAATTTGATAATATTGAGAATTTCAATGGTCAAACAGCTATTTCGTTTGATTTTATTCCGCAATTTTCATGAAATCAAAATTTCTCCTAAAGTTTATCTCAGATATATCGTACCAGATATTTACATTTACTCTATGATAACGCGATACTGTATCATGTCATGTTTAGGACATTATTGAATTAATTTTGTCTAGTATTTTAGAATTAGGCAAACATTTTTTGAAAATATTTCCAAATTTAAATTGATTTTTTCATTTCTGATATTCTTGTCTTATCCGTTAAATGAACGTTTTACCTATATATAATATACGCTATACTTCAATTGAAATATGCAGTATTTCAAAATTTAATATTTTCCAAAAAAAAGAAAGATTCCTTAGGTAACATGTTAAAATTGCATTAAAATTTTCAAAATAACCACAGAAATTTAATTTCCTGGAATTAATTAATTATTTGCTCATTTTTTTCCACTTAGAAAATGAATTATGTTTTTTTTTTATTAATGATAAACTGTCAGTTTAATTTGATAGCTATTTCAGTCTTATTACCATTTAATTGTATATTATCACTGTTTGATATATACAAGTAATTAAGTAAAGCAGAGTTTCTTCCTTCGTTTTTTTGGTTTTTTTTTTTTCTTTTCCTTTTAACTTATTTGCTACTATGGTAATAGCATTATTACAGCACATATATATATAACAATAATAATAAGTACGGTAAATTATTAAATATACCACAATGATACTATTATCTCCGGAAAAAAAAGAAAGAATTTCAAATAAATCTATAAACAAACACGATACAAAAGTAAAATTCATTGATAATTAAAAAATTCAAATAATTAAGAGAAATCTCATTGCACCATTTAATAAATGACAGAAAAAAAAAAGATGTTTTCTTAAATATTGATTTAAATGAATAAATAAATCTTTCTTGGAAATTTTTTGAAAAAAAAAAAGAAATATTAAAAGATGTCAACGATAGGATTAAAAGACAGGGCAAGTTTCAATGTGAAGCATGGATTTCATTAAATTATCAAAGGATTATGTCGGCATATGCTTTCTGTGTGTTAGTTAATCGAACTGAACAAAAAAAAAAGAAAAAAAAGATTTCAATATTTTGGGCTTGGTTTGAATTTTTAAACGAATAAAGGGAAAGATGTGACAACTCGAATGACAAGTTATGTCTCTTTTTGATGAAAATTTGCAAAAAAAAATGACATATGGACTGAAATAATTTTTCAGCGTTGTTATTCAAATACCTAATTACTTATTTAATTATTAAGTTGTTAGCAAATAATTAGACTGAAAACCTGATCAATCATTCTTAAATTCTCACAAAATGAATGAATTATTAAAAGTTGTTTAAAATTTACCAACAAAATTCTTTTGCTATTTTTCCTTTGATTAATTGTAAGCAAACATTATTAGAACTAGCAAAGGTATATATATTTCATAAACAATAAAAGGAAAAGGAAATTATAATTAAAAAAGGAAATTAATTCACAAGTCTTAGATATTTTTCATTTGAACAAGACAATCAATCGTTTCGTTTTAAATTAAAAAGTCAATGGTAATTAAATTTTTTTAAAATGAAACCAAATGCTATACTCAAGTATTGAAATTAATTTTAGAAGATAATTAAAAGAATAATATGAGATCGATGTACTTAAACAATTTAGAAGCGATACGATACGATATAATTTTCAAATTTCTACAGTAGTATAATGGTATCACAGTTGCATACTTTGAACAGGATGCTAAAGTTGCAAAATATTGAGATCTAGCGTTACGCCTGAAAAATTGATTTCATTAATTAGATGATTAATAAATCTTTTTCCAATTAACAAAAAAAATGAATCTTCTAATCTTGTAATTAATTTCTAATTAAATTAATTTTACAGATATTTTTACGATTGATTAAACGGATTTTGATAAATATGCATGTTCTATTAAGGAGTTATCCAAATTAATAATTAAACTTAAGATAATAATTTTAGATTAAAAAATATGATGAAAAATACATTTTACGCTCGAAAATTTTCATTTAAATATTTTTTTTTCATAATGAATAAAATTTAAAATATATTTACTTTCAACAAAAATAATAATTAAAATAAATCTATTTCATTTTTCAGAAAAAAAAAGTTTCACCTGTTTTTGCATATTCGGGTAAAGCTTTATTTACTGGATTACTGTAAATGGTGCTATTGTTACTGTTATTGTTGTTGTTATTATAATTACTGTTGTTGCCAACACTGTTTATATCATCCAAACTCCGAAGTAACTGTAAGATAAACTCATTTAACTTTTCATTTTAATAACAATTAACCGTTTTAATGTCATCGTTAACAGAGGAAAATTAAAATTAATAAATATTTAGACTATTAAGTAACTCTGTCACTAGTGATAAATGACCGCTGAAAGGACAAAACTGTCTGTAAGTTTTATGAAATAAGTTTACGAATTTCACGTCCAATCATATTCACGAGTTTCACGTCCAATCATATTCACGAATCTTACGTACAATCATACCTACGAGTTTCACGTCCAATCATATTCACGAGTTTCACGTCCAATCATATTCACGAATCTCACGTGCAATCATATTCACGAGTCTCATGTCCAATCATATTCACGAATCTCACGTCTAATCATATTCACGAGTCTCATGTCCAATCATATTCACGAATCTCACGTGCAATCATATTTACGAGTTTTACGTCCAATCATATTCACGAGTTTCACGTCCAATCATATTCACGAATCTCACGTGCAATCATATTTACGATTTCTATGTCTAATCATATTTCATAATTGCATATGTATCTGTTATTATTTCTCAAACTCAGAAAGTAAAATGTACCAAATAGTTAAAAAAAAAAAGTGAAATTTAAATAATGAAAGAGAGAAACCATGTGATCATCATCAACAGTAGCTGTCGAACTGTCACCACTTTCGATCATGCAACCACTATCAGATGTGGAAGAGTAAGTCATACCACATGTTGATAATGAATGATGTTCAATGTTTGATAAACAATCTATTAAAGGAGATTGTTGTTCTCCGATTGTTGTCACCGATAACAATGACATATTTCCGTTACCATCAACGTTTTCTGCTTGTAAACGGATCATCTCATGTAGTTGACGTTGAAAATTAGACGTATTTGTTCGCTTAAATAAATTTAAAAAAAAAAAATGTCAAATTAAATGATTTCTTCATGAGAAATAGTAAAAATATGATATAATACGTACGCTAAAATTGTGACGTAAATTTGCGTAAGTTTAACGGAAATGTGGAAAAAATATTTTAAAATTAAAATTTTTAACGCTGACGTGAATTTGCGTAAGTTTGGCAAAAACAAAAGAAATAATTGATATATATATATATTGTAAATTTTCCTTTAAAAATATAACAATCTCTATGTATTTTATAGTAATTTTGCAATAATTAATGAGAAGTGAATTTTCACCAACGGTCGATCAAAAGTGTTCGTAAGTGAAGTATGCATTGTTTCAGGTATCGTTGAAGATTTGCTCATATTCTATAACAAATAATTAATTAATTAGCTAATGCAGTTAATTAAACAATATATAATTAGTTACTTCGCTGTGATTAGAAAGCAAATTTAAGAGATATATTCAATTTTAATTGAATTATTAGTACTAAAATTAATTAAGATTATTTAAAACAGCAGAAGTAAAATTACTCGTAGTGTAAAACTTTTCTTCTTTTAAACTTTTTTTTTTTATATCACAGCTGAATTAATTAAAGATTTGAAGAAATATCATATCAGAAAATTCTTATCAAATTAATAATGAAAAAGATAATAATAAAAAAATTTTGCAAATAATTTTTACCATAAGACATTGTTGTTCCTCATCAATTCCTGATAATTTTGAACTTTCCATCATAGCTGGACTGATTAAACTATTTACTGAAAATAAAAAAAATTAAAATTGAATTTCAAAAATAAAAAAAAAACATTTCATTTCATTAATGCTTCATTTCCAGATATTCAACAACAATAGGCTAAAAAAAAAAAAAATTAAAATGCGGGGGAAATAGAGGAAAATGAAAAAGAAACTGATACAACAGCGGTAAAAATTTTTCACCAAAATATAGATAATTAATTAAGTTAATAATTTAATTAGGGGTAATATTAGTGCAGGTGTGCATAAGTAAATTAATAAACATTTATAGTGATTTCGAAAAAAAATTTTGCCTTTTTTTGGAAGAAAATCAACCAAATGATAAGCATTGAAGAAGGCATTTAGCTAAATGATAAGTGATAACATAGAGTATACTACTGTAATATCTCAGAAAAAAAAGAGTTAATGAATAAGAATTTATTTAAAATAAACTATGAGGGTGTGATGAAGCATCCAAATTAAACTTTAACAAAAAAATTGTCAAACAATTATGATATTTCTGATACTTCTGTCGCGATAATTATGATAATGATAATGGTGACAATGATAATACAAGAAAATGTAGCATTTGTGATGCTGATAATTGTCGTATGATCGAGAAATTTTATTTGTTTTGTTTGAATCAATCAAATTTGAAAGTTAAAACTAATTCTATGCTTCTTTTTAAAAGGAAAATTGGTTTATTTTGATACATCTTTAT